GACCGAGGTCGACCGATGAGGGACCCAGGTCTACCGATGAAGGACAGGGTCCACCTGATTGACCGAGGAGGGACCAGATCTACCGATGAGGGACCCAGGTCGACCGATTGGGGGCCGGATCCACCAATGAAGGATCGGTTCTTTTAATGGGGCCATGGTCAACTCCTTTCGGTACCGGCATAAAGGTATTCTGGTAATGACCTCTCCTTTGTTTGTCTTTCACATTCTCAGCCAACGGTCGCTTCACTTCGAGGTTTCCCTTTATCTCCGGTCCCTTCTCTCTGGTGCGTGGTGGTCCACCGCCACTTGTCCCTTCAACCCAACTGGCCCCTGGGTTCTTCACAATTTAGGAACGCACTTACTCACACATCAATGGCGAGCTTTCTTGGATACAAGCCGAGACAGCAGGAAATTGACCTTGGACGTCGGAGCGTCAATTAATTATGACGCTATTGCAATATCCACTTCGCAAAACCAGCGACTAAAGGTGCAAAGTGCGCGAGGGAGTCAATACTTGCCGATTTGCTTCGGCGAGCTCGCGCACCAAACCGTCTCGGATACCAGCACGTTGATCATCGAACGTCGCTTAGCTCAGCAGCGACGTCACGATAATTTTACTAGACACCGCCTCTAGACGGTGCACTCCACCAAGGTGAGATGCAAAAAGTCAAAATGCTCCAGCGAGACCGCTGGAGCCACCGAAGATTTGTCCATGTTCATCTCGAATCTGGTCATTGGAAGGACTACAAAGTGCTACCAGGTGTAACGGGCTAAGGACCCGTTACCGTCATACACTAAAAAGGCGTTGAGGAAGCGCTCTAAATTAACTCGCGAATATAACTCTGCTTTATTTGTTTTGTTATGATTCGCAGTAAGTGCGAGTATGTTCCCTACCTCATGGGAACCACTCAATATGGAAGTCAATTTATTTTTGGCTAATTATTGGGTCTGGCACCCCAATAATAAACCAATAATAAAATGACGCGCAGTATCCGCTAATCGAATACTGCCCTATGCCTACTTATGTAATTATGTATTATTCCTATAACTCCTTATGTAATAGGTCGCCCCATTACAGTAATCCTCAATTTAGTCGAGAGTTATCGCAAAGGATCTCGCTGTGGCTGTGCTGCTAGGCGTACCGTCATCCTTGTTGGAGGGGTCTTGCACTCAACATATTTGAGACTACGACCATCTAGCGACCGACACCGAACAAATTTGTTCGACGCCCCACAGTCAACTATGGCGCAAAGTGGCATGTCGCTTCGATCTTTAAGGATGCCTCATCAATAGGTACGGCAACACACATTGACTGTGTGTTGGAATCAACCTTCGTCAAGAGTCGCGCGAACTCTCTTGAGGTTGCTGGATCAGCAGGGCGCTCCGCCCCTACTGACCCCGACCGTTTTTTCTGACGATCCAGCACGTTGTTTTGGCTTCGCACAGCGCGGACGTACGTCTTTGACCCTTCTTGACAGGGCGGACGGTCGTCACTCCCAGTGTTACGAGACACTGGGCGTGAGGCACTACAATCATTCGAGTAGTGACCCATCTTTAGGCAGCGATTGCGCTTTTTAAACTGCTTATTTTCTGGAAAGCAAGGTCGCTATCTCTCGACATAGAAGAGGTTCATAGGATGTAGACCTCTGCCCTCTTGTCGTCCCAATGGACGATAGGATCCCGAGTGTACATGAGCCTCTTGGAGGCTGAAGTCCTCCTGTTCTGCTGCATAGATCACTTGATCAAGAGACACCAATTCCAAGTGGAAAAGGCGGGTCTTGACGAGACCATCCGTCAGACGCTTGATGGACACCGTAACCTGCGTGTGTTCATCTATTGGGTCAAGCGCGAATACAACTGACAAGGTATCGTTTGCATGTTGGGCGTGAGCGTGTATATAACGCTTACCCTGTCTCAGATCCAGGAGATAAGCTTGAGCCCTGAATACAGCGCGAAGTGGTTAAACGTTTTTTTAAGGCGCTCCTTGAAGACATCATATGTTGGAAAACGTATGGGCATGCATCTTGGGCCCTAAGGCTCAAGATTTGGCACTTCCAGCCAAGTTCGACATTGCGAACCTGACCTTCATCGTATCGTCATCCATGCGACGAGTTTCAATGGCATCGTCGAGTTTGATGAACCATTTTAAAAAGGAGTCGCTTTCGACTACCTTGTACGTGATGCCATCAATCTTCAAGGACTCGAGTCGACGTATATTCGTCACCCCGGCAGCAGCAGCACCTACTTACTGTTATATCTACACTTTAGACTGCTGAGAACCCTGCTGCCTCAACAAGTCAGCTTGTTGGGTGCCTTGCTCTCTCAACAGAATAGCCTGTTGAGCATCTTTCTCCTGCAACAAGGTGAGTTTTATCATCTCTTCGTCAAGTTCATGCTGTACGAACTTTTTTATAGTTGCATGTTGCTCATCTCGACCCAAAGAGAGCAACATGGCACCGACGGCGGCATCACCGACGATCTCAGCAATAAGTTTATCGCTTGCCATTTGAGATCGCTCAAATCGCAGAAGTCATCATTCGATGCGTGATGGCATTACACATCCGCTAGTTCCATAGCGAATGAGTCGTTGAAAGGATTATATAGTGCAACCAGGTACCCTCCGACTATACTGATAACAGTATAGGCTACCTACACTGATGATAGTCCTCGAACCTTTTCTTACACGAAGAGGGAGCAACCACATAAACGCTTCGCTGTGAAGAAAATGAAAAGTGTAATTATTATAGTCAATCCATCTAATATATGCGAATTTGTTGTAGCCTTGACTTAACTATATTAAGCTATATTTATGAATGCTGCGGGATTTCCCCCTGGTACCTCGGGTAAGCAACGGCCTGCGTCGTACATGGCACAGATTCAAATACCCCTACGACCAACCAAAGGTCCAAAAACAATGTGACACACACTTATCTCACTGTTACCCCCCCCCGGGAACCCTGATACCAGTGAGTACAGTCTCTCGTAAAAGCATGAAACCCCAATACAAATAGTTGGGGCTATACGGACTAATTGGCACCCAGAACATCTGGAAGGACGTCCGTCCGTGGCACGATAGCCATGACCGGTCAGGAATGTGTAGGCCCTCGCCGAAGTGGACAGTACCTGGTCGTTAGAAATACTATATGAATCGGCTGTACCTAATAAAAAATATGGATGTTGCCTCTTTGCCCTCCACTCATTGCGCGCGTCCATCGGTCATTGGTCAGCGCGTTAGTTGATATGATGGCCCATATCAACCAATGAGGGCATCTCCAACTTCAAGGAGAGGCAAGGACAATATTATAAGGAAATATATCATTTACTTCACTTAATATTAGCGCTAATATTATGTAACGGGTAACACCCCGTTAGAACTTTGTTATAGGAGCTAAGCGGCCCTTTAGCCAATTAGTTACTTTCTTAGAATTAAGTGGCTTTAAGCCGATACATTTCACTAACTCTATGAAGCTAATTCTATTAGCCCATAACTCTTTCTTTACCTTACAAGATACGTTACTCCATTGCAGTGCTAGTAAATAGTATTGAGTCATCAGATATTCATTTTTGTATAAATATCACTATACATAATACTATCGTTATCGTGACCGACAAACTACAATGTTTGAGTCTGTCGTCTTCAGGTACTTATTGTCGTAAAGCACCAGTCGTGGTCAAAGACTTGTCGTGGTCAACTACCAGCAAAAGCAGTAAATGTTTGAAGCAATATATTAGAATGTTTAAATTAGAAATAGGGTTTATTTTTTTATTTCAATGAGATGGGTCATTCTGATTAATCATATTTCGAGAAGGACTCCGTAATTATGACCACCAATACCTATGGACTATAATGTTTTACAGGTAGACAGCTATATTCGACTTTAAGGAGAAAAAATATTCGTATCTATATACAAAAATGTCCTGTTACTCGCCGTATCCATCATGGCAATCCATCACGCTTCGACTAATGCTTAGCTTTACGTAATCACTGTAACAATGAGCTTTATCAATGGCATGAGCGGCTTGTAGCTGTCGTCATTTACCTCTTTCTCCCGCAAGCGGTGCCACACCAAATAACGAAATGCTGCTTTTAGACGTGTGCAAATACTACTCCTACACATATTGCTCCTCAATGCGGTGGCCACCGCACCATTTTATTTGCTCCTCGTACTGCCGGCAATGCCAGACAGACGCACTTTTAGTGTTGCTTGTAGCATGAATGTAATGACCTGGTATTTTTTTCTATCGCACTGTAACGACCAAGCTCGGTAGTGCTCCAAACGACAGTAAGGAGTATGCGATAGTGTACAATAAGGTCACCAAAGCTTTCGTTGCGGCGACGGTAGCGACGCGGGAAAGGAAGACACGAGTATAGAGAGTGTCAGCGCGTGTGGTGAGTGTAAATGTATGGAGGGTTCGTTGTGTCACACGTGCCACATTTAGAGATCTGCCAGATCGAAGCACTGCCACAGTTGTCTCTATTTTTGACCACCAGTGAGTGACAGAAGACCCTTCTTTGGACAGACTAACTTGCCCGATTGAACCAACTTGCGATCTTTGTACCCGTAGCTGCCCATTTGTAGACAAGACGCGATACTTACGCAACATTCCGGTTACACATTGAGTTCTTGGCCGTTGACCTTGTTGAACTATAGCATTACCATCACGTCCTGCGCGTCTACATAGTCGTGCCATGAATTTACCTGCTGTTGGTTTTTGCTTCCAGTCGCTTAACTTGTGGGTGTCTACCTCTACCTCATGGCTCGCAATCGCACTACGAACGAAATGCTTGGTGCGATTCGTTATCGTTTCCAACGTGGGAGCGATTTACGTTCGTATGACTGTGGCTTCATTCGACATGTGAAGGAGCGCTTGACGGAGAAGCTATTGACGATGACGACGCTGAAGAAAAGACCAAGCTTCTTCAAGAGCAGCTTGACTTTGGTTCCGTCTAGAGCAAATAACAGCTACAGAACAAAGTTATAGTGAATACAGATTATATTCTACCATAGCTGACACTTAGTCTTCGGGTTCATGGGCGAGCTAGCGGGACACGAAAACACGCGTGCGAAGTCGTGCGAATTGCTTGCAGCTCCGTTAATGCGCCAGCGCGGGGGCGAGTGCGAGTCTGTGATTAAGCTTTCTTTCATCATGATGTCGCTTGCCTTACCGCAGAATGTCTGAGCAAACGAGATGAAGAAAAGTTTGTCCGCTACGTCAGCAGGTAAGCTGCGCTCGACTTGGCTCATTGGACTAATCAGCTTTGTCGCTTCGGTTTCACTGACCTTGCTCAGCTCTCGGACCTGCTTCTTAATGTAGGTTTGATATGCGTTAAACGACAACTTGAGGCCGCCATTGTCGGCGATATTCTCCATCAAAGTGTAAGTCCCGTCGACGTGGCCCAACACCTTATTATGATCTGCATTACTCGTCACTGCAAACTATTGTATTGCTTCACGAGACAATCAGACCGCTGTGAAAACTTTGTTGATGTGTCGTTCTCCACCAGTTCCGCAAGTTACCGTCACTGGCGTAGTATCTTCCAGAACTATCAAAGCCATGCGTGAGTTCGTGACTGATGATAAAACCAATAGAACCAAAGTTGCGTGCAGGGTGGGATTCAGAAGCGAAAAATGGCGACTTAGGATGCCAGCAGGGAGTATGATCTGGTTCATGGTCGGGTTATACATCGCGTTCACATCAGCACTCGAAGTTGTCCATTCGTTGCGGTTCACTGGACCACCGATCCGTCCTATGACTTGATTAAACTGATGCTTCATGATGATCCGCATATTGTCTGTAAGTAATGCGTCGCCGTGTAGTTTGTATGGAAAGTGCTCGAAGAGAGTCGAATACCCAATAAGATGGGTCATCTTGCCTACTTTTTCAATAGCGGCCTGCCGAGTTGGCCCGTCCAGCCAATCCGCCTGCTTGATGTTCTTCCGCATCGACACTTTCACTTGCGCTACAAGTTGGCTGGCAAGTTGCTCGCTAGCCTTGTCGAACTGAAGGTGTCCAAAATACTTGCCCACTAAAGCAGGAAAGCTGGCGGTAACAAGGTCAAGGCACGCTTTCCATCGCGGGGAACGCTTCTGACCGCTGATAGTCCGATCAAAAAAACAAATTTCGCCTGAACAAAAGGCTCGTTGAGATCATCTGCGTTGGCGCTGATAAATTGGTACATCAGTACAGCTTTCAAGGTCTTCAAAGTCACAGAATCTCCAGTCACGAGCTTTTCAACCCGTCTAAAAAATTCGGGCGTTCGCACGATCACGTCAGCGTTCTGATCTGTGAGATTCCTTAGCAACCCTACGCCGTTCAAGAAGTGTGAGAAAACCAACGGATATTTATCAGCAGCTTGGGCCACGCTCATACGATTGTACGTTGCGACAGGATCATCCAGCGGTTCATAAAGCGGTGCAAGCATTTGTTCAAAGCCAATCACTGTGGAAGCTTGCGATGCTGCTGCACGTGGCTCCCATCCAACCAGCACAAACAACTTTACCACATACGCATGGAATGCGTCACTGATAGAGTCAAACATCTTACGATCCAAATAATACTGGATATCTGGCAGTGACAGTCCATTCTGCCATGCATACAACACGTGCACGGTCGCCTCTCGAGCATCTGCATAAACACTAAGTTCTGTCACCAAGTTTGTTCCCGATTGGTACAAAACTCCTGCCAATCGAAACAGCTTCTTCTTGGTTTTCGTCGTAGCAATTTGCTCTAACACCGGCAACAGGACTTTTAACGACGCGTCATCCGCCGTCGTACTACTCGTGTTGTTAAAGTTCATACACGAGTCGTACAACTCGCTTTCGATCGGCCAACCATGCTGCATTCCGTTTTTCACCACCTTTTCATTCTTATCTTGTAATGTAGAAAATGACAAGGACACACTCGACGTGTCTTCCGGGATCTCCACATTTCTCTGCCATGAGCCACAACTAAACGTGTACAAGTCGTCACATGGGTCCACTTCTTTATCCAAATGACTGACAACGTCAGGTGGCAGCATCTCTACCCACGTGGTTGCCTCGGTCGCTAATCGGGTCACGCGTGGGGCCTGTAAAGGGCGACCGTGAACCACAAGAACCATCACCAAAAGGAGCAATATGCCGAGGCCTCCAACTGCCCAGGCCGCAGCAGGTTTCTGCGCTGATAGCGGCGACGGGCTTGCATACTCCATCGATTCATCTTCCCGTTTCACAAGCGGTTCCTCGTCTTCCATTGTCTGCTGCTTCAGAATAAGCGCCTCTTCGTCATCAAGAAGGAGCTCTGCTCCGTTTCCATCGTAGCTTTTCGTCCTTTTACCGTCCTTTGAGTGCTTCATTGCAAGTACAATCCAGAATGCTCTTGACTG